TCAGAAGTCACATAATTAGTTAGATTGCACACATGTGGACTTTATTTAAGTGTCACATGATCTGTCACATGATCTCAGTATATATACACCTGTTCTGAAAGGCCCCAGAGTCTGCAACACCACTAAGCAAGGGGCACCACCAAGCAAGCGGCACCATGAAGACCAAGGAGCTCTCCAAACAGGTCAGGGACAAGGTTGTGGAGAAGTACAGATCAGGGTTGGGTTATAAAAAAATATCCAAAACTTTGAACATCCCACGGAGCACCATTAAATCCATTATAAAAAAATGGAAAGAATATGGCACCACAACAAACCTGCCAAGAGAGGGCCGCCCACCAGAACTCATGGACCAGGCAAGGAGGGCATTAATCAGAGGCAACAAAGAGACCAAAGATAACCCTGAAGGAGCTGCAAAACGCCACAGCGGAGATTGGAGTATCTTTCCATAGGACCACTTTAAGCCGTACACTCTACAGAGCTGGGCTTTATGGAAGAGTGGCCAGAAAAAAGCCATTGCTTAAAGAAAATACAAAAATAAGCAAACACGTTTGGTGTTTGCCAAAAGGCATGTGGGAGACTCCCCAAACATATGGAAAAAGGTACTCTGGTCAGATGAGACTAAAGTTGAGCTTTTTGGCCATCAAGGAAAATGCTATGTCTGGTGCAAATCCAACACCTCTCATCACCCCGGGAACACCATCCCCACAGTGAAGCATGGTGGTGGCAGCATCATGCTATGGGGATGTTTTTCATCGGCAGGGACTGGGAAACTGGTCAGAATTGAAGGAATGATGGATGGCGCTAAATACAGGGAAATTCTTGAGGGAAACCTGTTTCAGTCTTCCCAGAGATTTGAGACTGGGACGGAGGTTCACCTTCCAGCAGGACAATGACACTAAGCATACTGCTAAAGCAACACTTGAGTGGTTTAAGGGGAAACATTTAAATGTATATAATATATAATAATATAATATGCCATTTAGCAGACGCTTTTATCCAAAGCGACTTACAGTCATGCGTGCATACATTTTTTTTTTTGTGTATGGGTGGTCCCGGGGATCGAACCCACTACCTTGGCGTTACAAGCGCCGTGCTCTACCAGCTGAGCTACAGAGGACCACATCTTGGGAATCTGTGGTATGGCCACCCCCCATGGTACCACCATGTCTTGGGAATCTGTGGTATGACTTAAAGATTGCTGTACACCAGCGGAACCCATCCAACTTGAAGGAGCTGGAGCAGTTTTGCCTTGAAGAATGGGCAAAAATCCCAGTGGCTAGATGTGCCAAGCTTATAGAGACATACCCCAAGAGACTTGCAGCTGTAATTGCTGCAAAAGGTGGCTCTACAAAGTATTGACTTTGGGGGGGGGGGGGGGGGGGGTTCTCTGTTTTTTTGTCTTATTTTGCATCTTCAAAGTGGTAGGCATGTTGTGTAAATCAAATGATACAAACCCCCTCAAAAATCCATTTTATTTCAAGGTTGTAAGGCAACAAAATAGGAAAAATGCCAAGGGGGGTGAATACTTTCACAAGCCACTGTAGATTACGGCCTAATTTATTTATTTCAATTGACTGATTTCCATATGAACTGTAACTCAGTGAAATCATTGAAATTGTTGCATGTTGCATTTATATTTTTGTTCAGTATATAATTGTGGAAAGCTTTGTTTTGATCACACATCAGCACAAGGACCTCTTTGTTGGGACATTGTGTACTGAAGTTGTCATAGGACATGAGAACACAAGAGGAGAATACAGTGGTCATTTGGTAGTACTGCAGATGTTTTTGATTTCACTGTTTTCTTCCGTCACTATCTACTGTTGAGGAAGTGAACTGCAGTGCTTACATACATACAGTGGGGGAAAAAAGTATTTAGTCAGCCACCAATTGTGCAAGTTATCCCACTTAAAAAGATGAGAGAGGCCTGTAATTTTCATCATAGGTAGACGTCAACTATGACAGACAAAATGAGTTTTTTTTCTCCAGAAAATCACATTGTAGGATTTTTAATGAATTTATTTGCAAATTATGGTGGAAAATAAGTATTTGGTCACCTACAAACAAGCAAGATTTCTGGCTCTCACAGACCTGTAACTTCTTCTTTAAGAGGCTCCTCTGTCCTCCACTCGTTACCTGTATTAATGGCACCTGTTTGAACTTGTTATCAGTATAAAAGACACCTGTCCACAACCTCAAACAGTCACACTCCAAACTCCACTATGGCCAAGACCAAAGAGCTGTCAAAGGACACCAGAAACAAAATTGTAGACCTGCACCAGGCTGGGAAGACTGAATCTGCAATAGGTAAGCAGCTTGGTTTGAAGAAATCAACTGTGGGAGCAATTATTAGGAAATGGAAGACATACAAGACCACTGATAATCTCCCTCGATCTGGGGCTCCACGCAAGATCTCACCCCATGGGGTCAAAATGATCACAAGAACGGTGAGCAAAAATCCCAGAACCACACGGGGGGACCTAGTGAATGACCTGCAGAGAGCTGGGACCAAAGTAACAAAGCCTACCATCAGTAACACACTACGCCGCCAGGGACTCAAATCCTGCAGTGCCAGACGTGTCCCCCTGCTTAAGCCAGTACATGTCCAGGCCCGTCTGAAGTTTGCTAGAGTGCATTTGGATGATCCAGAAGAGGATTGGGAGAATGTCATATGGTCAGATGAAACCAAAATATAACTTTTTGGTAAAAACTCAACTTGTCGTGTTTGGAGGACAAAGAATGCTGAGTTGCATCCAAAGAACACCATACCTACTGTGAAGCATGGGGGTGGAAACATCATGCTTTGGGGCTGTTTTTCTGCAAAGGGACCAGGACGACTGATCCGTGTAAAGGAAAGAATGAATGGGGCCATGTATCGTGAGATTTTGAGTGAAAACCTCCTTCCATCAGCAAGGGCATTGAAGATGAAACGTGGCTGGGTCTTTCAGCATGACAATGATCCCAAACACACCGCCCGGGCAACGAAGGAGTGGCTTCGTAAGAAGCATTTCAAGGTCCTGGAGTGGCCTAGCCAGTCTCCAGATCTCAACCCCATAGAAAATCTTTGGAGGGAGTTGAAAGTCTGTGTTGCCCAGCGACAGCCCCAAAACATCACTGCTCTAGAGGAGATCTGCATGGAGGAATGGGCCAAAATACCAGCAACAGTGTGTGAAAACCTTGTGAAGACTTACAGAAAACGTTTGACCTGTGTCATTGCCAACAAAGGGTATATAACAAAGTATTGAGAAACTTTTGTTATTGACCAAATACTTATTTTCCACCATAATTTGCAAATAAATTCATTAAAAATCCTACAATGTGATTTTCTGGAGAAAAAAAACTCATTTTGTCTGTCATAGTTGACGTCTACCTATGATGAAAATTACAGGCCTCTCTCATCTTTTTAAGTGGGATAACTTGCACAATTGGTGGCTGACTAAATACTTTTTTCCCCCACTGTACGGTGTAGGGTGAAGTTCCCCCTAGACACTGATATTGGATCAGTGTTGCATTTTCCCTACTAATGGTTAAGGTTGTGATTGGGGAAAGTGAAGCTGATCCTAGATCTGTACCTAGGGTAAACTTACCCAGAATGCATACATACAGTGATATGAATCACATCACAAACATCTTTAGGTTTTTACTGGAATTTATTTAGTTACAAAAAGTTATTTTTTACAAAACAAAGCATAGAAAAAAATGTAAATATGAAAACTCTGACAAAGACTGTAGTTTGGATAATAACAAGAAAAGGCAGCCATAAACACAGGATCAAATCATGTCTGGGTAGGTGAGAAGAAGAAGGCATAGACCATGGGCTGTTTCAATAACTGTCCAAAATAGCACCCTATTTAGTGCACTATTTTTATTTATAATTTAACCTCAAAGCAAAAAGGTTGGATTGACCCCAAAACAGCTGTCTGACTGTCTATAAATTAGATTACATTAGTTAACATTTCTTCAAAATCAATTCATTTGTTAGCTTGATGTAACATTGAGGCTTCATCAGCACATTATCATGATAATAAGCATTTCATGTCATCAAAGCAGTAGGATGTAGTCTACTAGGCTATTGTTGCGCAACAATTAGTAATGTCTGCTTTACAGCATAGGCCCCTTACCACTCAGGTTCTACAACTGACGTACAATGCATTTGACACATTGGTTGTGATACAACTGATATTTTTGTGATACAACATAGTTTGTATGCACAAATAATGTGTACACAACGCTTGTGTAAATATTTTTACGCAGAAAAACTCTCAGTTGTATCATAACCATTGTGCCATTTTATCTGTACAACCAGAGTGTGTACAGAGCCATAGTAGCGGTTAGTGGTGGCCACTGGATGGTCACTCACAGGAGCACTTGAGCAGTGGAAACGTGGGAAACAAGAGGAGCAAGGGAAAACAGTAACAGTGTGTCTGAAATGGCAACCTATTCCCCATATAGTGCACTACTTTTGACCAGGGCCATTTGGGTGCCATTTTGGACGCACTAACAGACAAGAGTAATCTTTGGAGTCTGTGATGGTGAGGTATTCAAGCCTCTTGTCTTGGGGCATCATCCATCCTATTAGTGTCTCTCTCTGTGATCAGCACGAGGGAAAGCTAGGTCTCTGGGTTCAACGTACAGCCAGGATGGAGGTCACAGGTCAGAGGTCATGGGCCAGAGGGCATTGGGGGGCTCAAGGACACAGGGTTAGACTGGGCTGTGGGCCAATCAGGAGCATGAAGGTGGAGCTGGAGAGTCCAGTTTTGTACAGTCCAGTCATTTTCTAGTCCAGTCCAGTCCACATTCTCAGGGTCAGCTGGTCAGGGTTGTGCTGGTGTTGGAGGGTCCTGTGTAAGAAAACCCTGGGTCGTGTCCATTAGGCAACAAACTGAAAAGGACTGCCTGGATTCATTTTTGATTTCCATTGCAAAACATGTCACATTGCTAAATGTTTTCCATTCCATGCCCTACTGAACATGACCCTAGAGTGGTAGGCTTGTAGGCCCTCAGTGCCTGCGGATGCGCTGGCCTCCGGTGCCCGTGGTGGTGATGTAGAGCAGCGGCTGCGGCTGGCGCAGCTGGGACGCACGCTTCAGGTTGCTCAGATGTACTGGGGAGGACTCTGTGATGGGGCCTGTAAAAAGCATTAGTCAAAAACTGTATACAGAGCCCTGTTTACAAACAGTACAGTATGTTGATATATTTAATTAGCTACACTGTGAGGAGATAAGCCAATATCCAAGGGCGCTGTGGGTGCCATAGGGCTTGAACCCCGCCATGGCTGCTTGCAGCAATATTTTGTATTTTTTTATCTGGTGTAGGTAAAGGGAGGCTGACCTGTTTGGTGGTTGTTGTGGGGCAGCCGGACTTTGGTGAGAGGAGGGACCCCCCTGTGCTGTGGGCGTAGCAGGGGGGCCTGGGGCTGGCCGTTGATGTGGAGGTGGGGGTCTGAAGTGCTGTCCAGCGGGCGGACACGCTGGGCTGCCATGGTCTTAGACTGAGACAGCTGAGCAGGGGGAGGGATTGAGTAGTGTGTTAAGGCTGATATCATGTAGGCTATTTACTGTAACGTTGTTTCCGGCTGGAGCCACTTTATATGTCTATGTAATTTGATCAATCAATCAATCAATCAATCACAGCTGCTGATGACTCTACTAACATACAGTACTGAATAATCAAATCCTTCTCAGGGAGCTAGATAATGAACATGCTACTTACTGCTTGACCTGTGACCTCGAATGAGCGGGATCGTTTCTTCCGGCGGCGAGCCTCGAAGTCCTGCTCACGGGGGGTGGGGTTTGGGTTCTTGGGGGCAGGCTGGCGGTTGCGTGGGCGTGTCCAGGTGCCCAGGGAGCCAGGCCCCTCCCCTGTGCTGCTGGATAGGTTCTCATCTGAGGTGGCGTGGCGGAGCTCGGGGCTGGGCTGCCGGCCGCGAAGCAGGGTCAGGCCCCTAGGGGGCGCCTCGCTCAGAGACAAGCTGCTCTTGTGCTTCTTGGGGTCCAGGGGGGAGGGAGGAGGGGGCAGCCTCAGGGCGTCCACTTCCAGGGCTTTGGAGCGGCGGCAAGCGGCCTTTACTGCAATGTTGTGGATCCCTTTGAGGATCTGCTGCCTCTCTGTTGATTCAAGGGAGACATTTGATTAGTAGGAAATCGAGACAGAGGCTCTACTATGAACTCATCTAGTACACCAGCATCCTGACCTAAGATAAGATAATAACATATAAACGTTATTGTCCCCAATTGTCCCCTAGATGTATAACGGCTATATTCTGTATTCCATCAGTTTGTGGTCCGTGCCCACATCTACAGATGTAGGATCTTAATTTGATCACCCGGTTGCAGGAGTACTTTCCTGCAATGTAGGAAATGTAAAACATGTAGTGTATTTGACCTTTAAAAAGGCTTCTGAAGTTTGTAATTTCTACTTAATTTCAGACTTGATTTTCCCTTACGAAAAATGTATCAACCTCTACAAAAATGTCAATTAATTACAATCCACATAATAATTCACATTTCCTGTTGCTAAAGGATAATTTTCCTGCTATTGCAAACTGTCTCAAAATAAGATCCTACCTCTGTACCCAAAGTACTCCCTATCCCGTATCGCTCCTGTCTGCTGTAGCCCTTGGGGGTCGCTTACCCTTACGTGTGAGGGGGATATCCTGACCCGTCTCGCTGCTCTCGGGGGAGGAGTCCAGGTGACTGCTGACACTGTGGCTGAGGTGGCTGTAGCTCAGAGTGGTCTCTGGAGCCAATGGCTGCAGCTGGAGAGGACAGAGGAGAGGGGACATGTGGCATTATACTCACACTCTCATAGGGGAGTATGCACATATGAAACCTGGTAGAAATGTTGCTCTGATATGGCTGTAACCTCCATTACTATGATGTCTCCACACTTCAGGTATAATGGCAATAGCTGCATCGGGCCTAGTTTATATCCACAGTGTGGATGGTACTGTGTTCTCACCTCTCTGTTCCCCTGGCCGTTGATGTGGATGGGAGGAGGGGTCATCACAGCAGAATGTTTAATCTGTCTGGCATGGGGACTGCTCTTAAACACCCGGTTGTTGTCTCTGTGAGAAGAATGGGGGGTAGATAGAGAGCGAGAGAAAGAACGACAGAGAGAGAAAGATAGTCAGTTAGACTAATGTCCTTCAATAGAAGGATAAGATGGAGATACAGACTAAAGGGTTTCTTCCTCCTAAACCAACCAGCACCCTCTCTCTCTCTCTCCCACCCTCCCAATCTCCCAGTCCCTCTGTCCTCTTACCCTTCAGGCTCAGGTAGGATGGGTGGCAGGGTGTGTCTGCGGGCCTTGGCCCTGCCATGCCTGGTCTCTGAGCCCATGGTGCGAACGCTCTCCTGGTCTGAGTCCATGTCCTGCAGCGGGCCACGACCTCGGCTGGGTAGGGTGATCTTGGGCAGGGAGGCCTCCTGGAGACAGCAAATGGTAGAGGAGGAAGGATACGTTTATATGTTAGAATTGTGTGTGTGTGTGTCTGTCTGTGCGTGATCTCGATTTCAATCTCAATCACGTTCTCTATCTATTGTCTACCTTGAGTGTGCGTCCAGTGATCTTGTCCAGGGCTTTTAATGTGTGTGTGTGCATGTGTGTGGTGTGTGTGGTGAGTGCATCTGTTGTCTACCTTGAGTGTGCATCCGGTGACTTTGTCCAGGGCCATGGCTCTGTCCAGGTTCCTCTCGTCCAGCTCTCTCATGTACATCCCATACAGCTCCTGAAGGTGGGGGGGCACCAGAAGGCTGTGGTCTGCAACAACACAACACAACACAGGTTAGAATACTAGTCACACTACAACACCAGCCATGTTAGAGTAGTTGTCATACTACAACACAACACCAACCATGTTAGAGTAGTTGTCACACTACAACACAACACCAACCATGTTAGAGTAGTCATACTACAACACTAAACATACAACTACGGAAGAGTATTAGGGCCAAGTAAAGAGAAAAAATAAATAAACTGTGACGGGTGGTGGTACTTGGATTATTATTTTTTGCACTATAGTATTTTTAAAAAGTGGCAATATTTAGAGAATAAAGTGGCAATATTTAGAGAATAAAGTGGCAAAATTTTGAGAATAAAGTCAACATTTTTATAACAAAGTCACAGTTATATTTCAAGATTAACGTACGGTATTTGGTTAAATGCATGTCTCCCTGGCTCCCTGTTGCTGTGCACTCCACTGTTGATGACTTGGTGAAACTATACTTTAGAATTGGCTTTAGTAAGAAGGAAAACTTTGCTCTTTTAGTACATACAGTGTAATAACCCTATTATTATAAGTATTAGGACCTGGATAAGGTTGTGCCACAGATTATTTTCAGAAGGAGGAACTGTGGTTACATACATAGGTAGAGACGGGCTGGTTGTGTGTGTGGGCGGTAAAAAGTAGGAGCAAAACAGACAAATGGCCATCAAACTAATGATCCAATACACTTGTTCAAACGCAGTGGTGTAAAGTACTTCAGTAAAAATACTTTAAAGTACTACTTAAGTAGTTTTTTTGAGTATCTGCACTTTACTTTACTATTTATATTTTTGACAACTTTTACTTCACTACATTCCTAAAGAAAATAATTTACTTTTTACTCCATACATTTTCCCTGACACCCAAAAGTACTGGTTACATTTTGAATGCTTAGCAGCACAGGGAAATGGTCCAATTCACACACTTATCAAGAGAACATCCCTGGTCATCCCCACTGCCTCTGATCTGGTGGACTCACTGAAGATTAAAATGCTTTATTTGTTAATGATGTCTGAGTGTTGGAGTGTGCCCCTGGCTTGATATAAGGAATAAGAAAGTATTTATACTTTTGATACTTAAGTATATTTGAGCAATTACATTTAATTTTGATACTTATATATATTTAAAACCAAATACTTTTCGACTTTTACTCAAGTAGTATTTTACTGGGTGACTTTCACTTTAACTTGAGTCATTTTCTATTAAGGTATCTTTACTTTTACTCAAGTATGACAATTGAGTACTTTTTCCACCACTGTTCAAATGGGCGTCACTGCTCACACTTATCAATCTAATGATCTAATAACTCTCTCTCACACACACACACACACACACACACACACACACACACTTTCAGACTATGGGCATACACTCTTCTAACGGCAATGGTGAGCACAAACAAAAACACTTTCTTGCCACCGTCACTGAATGCGAAGAGAACTTGGGTTGAGTCCCTGTCAGTCTGCCCTCCGAATTCGCTACAACGTTCTGCTACGTAGCCTAGGCGAACACCTTGCATAAAATCTGTCCATAATGACAACTATTAACGACCTTATACATGGTGCTTTACTAACAGTAGTATTTCCCCTTATGGCAATTATCCTTCTAACGACTATAGGCTAGTAGGTTACGTGAGCACACCCAATAAAACACATTTTCTTGGGATCCTGTGTCAAGCTGCTCTCCAAATGTTCTACAACACCGCTATATCCTTCAAGTTGGATGGGTTCCGTAGGTGTACAGAAATCTTTAAGTCATACCACAGATTCTCAATTGGATTGAGGTCTGGGCTTTAACTAGGCCCATTCCAAGACATTTAAATGTTTCCCCTTAAACCACACGAGTGTTGCTTTTGCAGTATGCTTAGGGTCTGTCACGATCGTTATAGGATGAAGCGGACCAAGGCGCAGCGTGATATGCGTACATCTTTTAATGAGTACTTTACACAAAATAACAAAACAACAAAACGATACGTGAAGTCTACAGGTTCACCAACACAAACCTATACAGAACAAGATCCCACAATAAACTAGTGCCAACCGGCTGCCTAAGTATGGTTCCCAATCAGAGACAACGAGAATCAGCTGCCTCTGATTGGGAACCACCCTGGCCAACATAGAAAACACGAACTAGAACGAAACATAGAAAATACAACATAGACACTACACACCCTGGCTCAACTTTTAAGAGTCCCCAGAGCCAGGGCGTGACAGGGTCATTGTCCTGCTGGAAGGTGAACCTCCGTCCCAGTCTCAAATCTCTGGAAGACTGAAACAGGTTTCCCTCAATAATTTCCCTGTATTTAGCGGCATCCATCATTCCTCAAATTCTGAACAGTTTCCCAGTCCCTGCCGATGAAAAACATCCCCACAGCATGATGCTGCCACCACCATGCTTCACTGGGGATGGTGTTCTCGGGGTGTTGAGAGGTGTTGGGTTTGCGCCAGACATAGCGTTTTCCTTGATGGCCAAAAAGCTCGATTTTAGTCTCATCTGACCAGAGCACCTTCTTCCATATGTTTGGGGAGTCTCCCACATGCCTTTTGGCGAACACCAAACGTGTTAGCTTATTTCTTTCTTTAAGCAATGGCTTTTTTCTGGCCACTCTTCCGTAAAGCTCAGCTCTGTGGAGTGTACGGCTTAAAGTGGTCCTATGGACAGATACTCCAATCTCTGCTGTGGAGCTTTGCAGCTCCTTCAGGGTTATCTTTGGTCTCTTTGTTGCCTCTCTGATTAATGCCCTCCTTGCCTGGTCCGTGAGTTTTGGTGGGCAGACCTCTCTTGGCAGGTTTGGTGTGGTGCCATATTCTTTCCATTTTTTTTATAATGGATTGAATGGTGCTCCGTGGGATGTTCAGAAACTATTTTTTTTATAACCCAACCCTTATCTGTACTTCTCCACAACTTTGTCCCTGACCTGTTTGGAGAGCTCCTTGGTCTTCATGGTGCCCCTTGCTTGGTGGTGCCCCTTGCTTAGTGGTGTTGCAGACTCTGGGGCCTTTCAGAACAGGTGTATATATACTGAGATCATGTGACAGATCATGTGACACTTAGATTGCACACAGGTGGACTTTATTTAACTAATTATGTCACTTCTGAAGGTAATTGGTTGCACCAGATCTTATTTAGGGGCTTCATAGCAAAGGGGGTGAATACATATGCACGCACCACTTTTCCGTTATTTATTTTTTAGAATTTTTTGAAACAAGTTATTTTTTTCATTTCACTTCACCAATATGGACTGTTTTGTGTACAGTGGGGGAAAAAAGTATTTAGTTAGCCACCAATTGTGCAAGTTCTCCCACTTAAAAAGATGAGAGGCCTGTAATTTTCATCATAGGTACACGTCAACTATGACAGACAAATTGAGAAAAAAAAATCCTGAAAATCACATTGTAGGATTTTTAATGAATTTATTTGCAAATTATGGTGGAAAATAAGTATTTGGTCACCTACAAACAAGCAAGATTTCTGGCTCTCACAGACCTGTAACTTCTTCTTTAAGAGGCTCCTCTGTCCTCCACTCGTTACCTGTATTAATGGCACCTGTTTGAACTTGTTATCAGTATAAAAGACACCTGTCCACAACCTCAAACAGTCACACTCCAAACTCCACTATGGCCAAGACCAAAGAGCTGTCAAAGGACACCAGAAACAAAATTGTAGACCTGCACCAGGCTGGGAAGACTGAATCTGCAATAGGTAAGCAGCTTGGTTTGAAGAAATCAACTGTGGGAGCAATTATTAGGAAATGGAAGACATCCAAGACCACTGATAATCTCCCTCGATCTGGGGCTCCACGCAAGATCTCACCCCGTTGGGTCAAAATGATCACAAGAACGGTGAGCAAAAATCCCAGAACCACACGGGGGGACCTAGTGAATGACCTGCAGAGAGCTGGGACCAAAGTAACAAAGCCTACCATCAGTAACACACTACGCCGCCAGGGACTCAAATCCTGCAGTGCCAGATGTGTCCCCCTGCTTAAGCCAGTACATGTCCAGGCCCGTCTGAAGTTTGCTAAAGTGCATTTGGATGATCCAGAAGAGGATTGGGAGAATGTCATATGGTCAGATGAAACCAAAATATAACTTTTTGGTAAAAACTCAACTCGTCGTGTTTGGAGGACAAAGAATGCTGAGTTGCATCCAAAGAACACCATACCTACTGTGAAGCATGGGGGTGGAAACATCATGCTTTGGGGCTGTTTTTCTGCAAAGGGACCAGGACGACTGATCCGTGTAAAGGAAAGAATGAATGGGTCCATGTATCATGAGATTTTGAGTGAAAACCTCCTTCCATCAGCAAGGGCATTGAAGATGAAACGTGGCTGGGTCTTTCAGCATGACAATGATCCCAAACACACCGCCCGGGCAACGAAGGAGTGGCTTCGTAAGAAGCATTTCAAGGTCCTGGAGTGGCCTAGCCAGTCTCCAGATCTCAACCCCATAGAAAATCTTTGGAGGGAGTTGAAAGTCTGTGTTGCCCAGCGACAGCCCCAAAACATCACTGCTCTAGAGGAGATCTGCATGGAGGAATGGGCCAAAATACCAGCAACAGTGTGTGAAAACCTTGTGAAGACTTACAGAAAACGTTTGACCTGTGTCATTGCCAACAAAGGGTATATAACAAAGTATTGAGAAACTTTTGTTATTGACCAAATACTTATTTTCCACCATAATTTGCAAATAAATTCATTAAAAATCCTACAATGTGATTTTCTGGATTTTTTTTCTCTCATTTTGTCTGTCATAGTTGACGTGTACCTATGATGAAAATTACAGGCCTCTCTCATCTTTTTAAGTGGGAGAACTTGCACAATTGGTGGCTGACTAAATACTTTTTTCCCCCACTGTATGTCCATTACATGAAATTCAAATAAAAATTAATTTAAATTACAGGTTGTAATGCAACAAAATAGGAAAAACGCCAAGGGGGATGAATACTTTTGCAAGGCACTGTATGTAACCACACAGACTTAGATAAAATACCTAATCAGAGCCCGTGTGGTTCCTCCTTCCAGGTCCTAATAGGTTAATGGTTATTATGTGGTAAAAGACAAAGGATTTCCTTTTTACTAAAGCCAATTCTAAAGTATAGTTTCACCAGGTCATCTAACTGCAGGCATTTCAACAGTGGTGTGCACAGCAACAGGGAGCCAGGGAGACATGCAGTTAATCAAATCCCCTACATTAATCTTGAAATATAACTTCGATAGAAGTTTATTCTGGAAATATTGCCACTTTATTCTGGAAATATTGCCACTTTATTCTTGAAATATTGCCACTTTATTCACAAAATTAAATTTAGACTTTATTCTCGAAATATTTCCACTTTATTCATAATATTGCCACTGTTTATTATTTTGTTTCTCTTCCCTTGGCATAATACTCTTCCGTACCCAACACTTACATACACAACATTTAATTGTTACACATTCAATCAACCTCACTGCGTTTGCAAGATCACTAAAGTGTGGACCCTGGATAGTGAGTTCTAGATTTCAGACTTCAATATTTTTGAAGAGGAGGTCTATAGCTATTGTAGTAAAAAAAATGAAGTTGTGTTTGTTTACTGTGTTGTTTGAACACACCGTCAATGAACTGTCTCTGCTGCTGGATGATCTCGTCACAGAGGTGGCGGTGCTGCTCGAAGCGCTGCACCACAAAGTTCTTCTGTCGGATCACGTTGTCTTTGAGCAGGGCATGGGACTGCATCTTAGCATTCTCGATCTCCAGCTCGTGGACCTTACAGAGGAGGCCCAGCACCTCCCTCTGCTCCTCGGAGCTCACCCTGCGAGGAAGCAGCTCCTCCAGGCGCCTGGCCCGCTCCCGCAGCTCCACGAAGCGGCTCTCTAGCGACGCCTATAGGACAGGAGGACAAACAGCAGGCAGGGCTCAATGAAATCCTCACCATAGTATGTTCTCATCATGGTACATGTGGGTCTACTGTACAAGTGGAGGCTGGTGGGAGTAGATTAAATGGAATAAACCATTGTAAACCATGTGCTTAATACCGTTCTATTCATTCCAATCCAGCCATGACAATGAGCCTGTCCTCCGATATCTCCTACCACTGGCCACCTCTGTACTGTGCAATAGAGAGCAATAGTAATGGCTGCTTTTTGTATGCAGTAACGGAGGCTAACTCCGCCATGGCTCGTTGGTTCAAAGCCTATTGGGAAATTAATGTGAGTTTTGGATAAACACCAAAAATAAGGTATGTGATAAACACAGGTTTAGGAGATCTTATACGTTTTGTTCTATGAGATAACTTAATCAGCTAACGTCACTTTTTGTGAATTCTGAAGCATTTATGTCATCAAAACAAACACATAAAGCGCATAAAGGCTTCATAATTCATAAAGGTCATGTTAACTGACTGATATTACAGTGCCTGTGGGTGGTAGGTAGCCTAGCGGTTAAGAGCATTGGGGCAGTAACCGAAAGGTCGCTGGTTTGAAACCCTGAGCCGGTAAGATGGAAATATCTGCCGTTCTGCCCAAGTGAGTTAACCCCCAACAACTGCTCCCCGGGTGCCGAAGATGTCAATTAAGGCAGCCCCTCGCACCTATCTGATTCAGAGGGGTTGGGTTAAATGTGGAAGACACATTTTGGTTTAATGCATTCAGTTGTACAACTGACTAGGTATTCCCTTTCCCTATAGAAAGTCTATACCTTCTTGAACCTTTTTCAATTTTTTTGCCGTTACAAAGTGGGATTGAAATAGATTCAATTGAAAAGATAATTAGACAAATCTTTTACAAATTAATAAAAATTCACCCCCTTTGCATAAGTATTCACCCCCTTTGTTTAGGCAAACCTAAATTAGTTCAGAAGTACAATGTTGCTTAACAAATCACATAATACGTTATATGGACTCACTCTGTGTGAAATAGTAGGGGTTGACATTACTTTTTAATGACTACCCCTTCGTCTGTCCCTCATACATACAACATCTATAAGGTCCCTCAGTCAAGTTTTGAGTTTCAAGCACATATTTAACTACAAAGACCAGGGAGCTTTTTGAAAGCCTCATAAAGAAGGGCAGTGATTGGAAGATGAGTAACAATAACAAATCAGACATTGAATACTCTGCATCATTATGCATGGTCAAGTTAATAATTATGCTGTGGATTATGTATTAAACTATCCAGACACATCAAAGATGCAGACGTCCTTCTGAACTGAGCTGCAGGACAGGAAGGAAACTGCTTAGGGATGTCACCATGAGGCCATTGGTGATGTTAAAACAGCTACAGAGTTCAATAGCTGTGATGGGAGAAAACTGAGGATGGATCAACAACATTGTAGTGACTCCAAAATAATGACCTAAATGACAGAGAGAAAAGAAGAATAAAAATATACCAAAACATGCATATGTCTGCAACAAGGCACTAAAGTAATACGGCAAGCAAAGGAGTACACTATTTGGCCTAAATGCAAAGCCCTATGTTTGGGGCAAATCCAACACAACACATCACTGAGTAACTGCCTTCTTATTTTCAAGCATGGTGGTGGCTGCATCATGGTATGGGTATGCTTGACATCAGCAAAGACTGGGGAGTTTTTCAGGAAGAAAATAAATGGGATGGAGCTAAGCACAGGCAAAATCCTAGAGGAAAGCCTGCTTCAGTCTGCTTTACACCAGATACTGGGAGAGGAATTCACCTTTCAGCAGGACAATAACCTATAACTCAAAGCCAAATCTACACTGGAGTTGCTTACCAAGAAGACAGTGAATGTTCCTGAGTTGCCAAGTTACAGTTCTGACTTAAATCTGATTGAGAATCTATGGCAAGACTTGAAAATTGCTGTCATGATTTCTAACACCTTGACAGAGCTTGAAGAATTTAGAAAATAATAAAATGGTCAAATAATTTTTGCAAACCTCTTATGAGACTTACCCAAGAAGACTCACAGCTGTAATCTTAGTGTTTTATTTTTCATGAATCTTTTTTTGTTTTATTGTATTTTGTGTAGATCGTTGACAAAAAATTACAATTAAATCAATTTTAATCACACGTTGTATACAATAAAATGTTAAGAAATCCAAGGGGGGTGTAGAATTTCTATAGGAACTGTATCTCATAGAACAAAACGTATGCGATCTCCTAAGCCTGTGTTAACCTCTGACCTTATTTTCAGCATTTATAAAAAATAAAATAAAATAAAAACATTCATTTCCCCATAGGCTTTGACCAATGAGCCATGGCTAACTAATTTCCTTTTTTTAGGACTACGAGCTCTATTGTCTAGTTTACAAGGCTATCAATGCCTAGTTTAAAGGTAGACTCAGCAATATGACATAGATGCAGAAAGTACATATTTTTTTGTTGTTGTAACAACTAAGAGCGTTGAAGCGCGGGGCTCTACTTCAAATCAAATCAAAATCAAATCAAATGTATTGGTCACATACACATGGTTAGCAGATGTTATTGCGAGTGTAGCGAAATGCTTGTGCTTCTAGTTCCGACAGTACAGCAATATCTAGCAAGTAATATCTAACAGTTCCACAACAAAAACATAATACACACGAATCTAAGTAAAGGAATGGAATAAGAATATATAAATATATGGATGAGCAATGTCATTATCAGAGTGGCATAGTCCAAGATGCAATAGATAGTATAGAATACAGTATATACATATGAGATGGGTAATGCAAGATATGTAAACATTATTAAGATAGTATAGAATACAGTATATACATATGAGATGGGTAATGCAAGATATGTAAACATTAAAGTGGCCTTATTAAAGTGACTAGTGTTCCATTTATTAAAGTGGCCAGTGATTTTCAAGTCTGTATGTAGGCAGCAGCCTCTCTGTGCTAGTGATGGCTGTTTAACAGTCTGATGGCCTTGAGATAGAAGCTGTTTTTCAGTCTCTCGGTCCCAGCTTTGATGCACCTGTACTGTCCTCACCTTCTGGATGATAGCGGGGTGAACAGGCAGTGGCTCGGGTGGTAGTTGTCCTTGATTATCTTTTTGGCCTTCCTGTGACATCGGGTGCTGTAGGTGTCCTGGAGGGCAGGTAGTTTGCCCCCGGTGATGTGTTGTGCAGACCGCACCACCCTCTGGAAAGCGCTGCGGTTGTGGGCTGTGCAGTTGCCGTACCTGGCGGTGATACAGCCCGACAAGATGCTCTCAATTGTGCATCTGTAAAAATGTGTGAGGGTTTTAGGTGACAGGCCAGATTTCTTCAGCCTCCTGAGGTTGAAGAGACACTGTTGCACCTCTTCACCACACTGTCTGTGTGGGTGGACCATTTCAGTTTGACAGTGATATGTACGCAGAGGAACTTAAAACTTTACACCTTCTCCACTGGTGTCTCGTCGATGTGGATAGGGGGGTGCACCCTCTGCTGTTTCCTGAAGTCCACGATCATCTCCTTTCTTTTTTTGACGTTGAGTGAGAGGTTATTTTCCTGACACCACACTCCGAGAGCCCTCACCTCCTCCCTGTAGGCTGTCTCATCGTTGTTGGTAATCAAGCCTACTACTGTTGTGTCGTCTGCAAACTTGATGATTGAGTTGGAGGCGTGCATGGCTATGCAGTCATGGGTGAACAGGGAGTACAGGAGGGGGCTGAGCACACACCCTTGTGGGGCCCCACTGTTGAGGATCAGCAAAGTGGAGATGTTGTTTCCAACCTTCACCACCTGGGGGCAGCCCGTCAGGAAGTCCAGGACCCAATTGCACAGGGGCGGGGTTGAGACCCAGGGCCTCAAACTTGATGATGAGCTTGGAGGGTACTATGGTGTTGAATGCTGAACTATAGTCAATGAACAGCATTCTTACATAGGTATTCCTCCTGTCCAGATGGCATAGGGCAGTGTGCAGTGTGATGGCGATTGCATCATCTGTGGACCTATTGGGCTGGTATGCAAATTGGAGTGGGTCTAGGGTGACAGGTAAGGTGGAGGTGATATGATCCTTGACTAGTCTCTCAAAGCACTTCATGATGACAGAATGAGTGCTACGGGCGATAGTAATTTAGTTCAGTTACCTTTGCATTCTTGGGTACAGGAACAATGGTGGCCATCTTGAAGCATGTGGGGACAGCAGACTGGGATAGGGAGAGATTGAATATGTCCGTAAACACACCAGCCAGCTGGTCTGCGCATGCTCTGAGGACGTGGCAAGGAATACCGTCTGGGCCGGCAGCCTTGCAATGGTTAACACGTTTAAATGTCTTACGTCGGCCGCGGAGAAGGAGAGCCCACAGTCCTTGGTAGCTGGCCGCGTCGGTGGCACTGTATTATCCTCAAAGCGGGCAAAGAACTTGTTTAGCTTATCTGGCAGCAAGACGCCGGTGTCCGCGACGTGGCTGGTTTTCCTATTGTAGTCCATGATTGTCTGTAGACCCTGCCACATACGTCTCGTGTCTGAGCCGCTATGTCTGAACCGCTGTTTTGGTCCCGGGGCTATACCACGATCTAACAGCATTAAGCGAACCCATGCACATGTGCAGATACTGTGTGTGACTGTGTAAGAGCGAAGTCTTGCATCTCGCTCATCTCAATATCTGCGGTGCTGCTTGTGGCAACGTCATTTCACTGAGTCTACCTTTAAGATGAGTCTACCTTAAAACAGCTTCTATCTCCAGGCCATGAGACTGTTAAATAGTCACCACTAGCCAGCCTCCGCCCAGTACCCTGCCCTGAACTTTAGTCACTGTTACTAGCCGGCTACCACCCGGTACTCAAACCTGCACCTTAGAGACTGCTGCCCTATGTACATAGTCATTTAACACTGGTCACTTTAAGAATGTTTACATACTGTTTTACCCACCTCATATGTATATACTGTATTCTAGTCATGGCTCATCCTAAATAACTACTGCTGTACACACCTTTTTTATTCATATACTGTCCATAATGTCTATACACACCATCACATACATATATATTTATATTCTGGACTCTAACTTTGCTCTATATTTCTATATTCCTTTATTATTAGTTTTAGGATTTGCGTGTATTGTTTTGTATTGTTAGGTATTACTGCACTGTTGCTAGGAAGCTAGGAACATAAGCATTTCGCTGCACCTGTGATAACATCTGCAAAATATGTGTACACAACCATTTAAATTTGATTTGATTTGAAGCAGGGTAGCCTAAGAGCTGTGTGTGTGTGATTCTGTAGCTCCCTCTAGAGGTGAGAGCAGGGGACTACAGTAACCTACCTTCTGTTTGCGTATCTTCTTCTGTTCAGCCATGAGAGTGACCAGGTTCTCTCTGGCCATGGCTACTTCCTGGGTCTCAGTGCTGTCTGGGGGAGACTCAGGGCAGTCAGAGTCCTTCTCACTCTCCTCCTTACTGAAGCTTTCCTTCCTCCTCTCCGCTCGCCACTTCCTGCGACGACGACTTCGCTCCTGCTCCCAACTACAGGAGGGCACAAACAACAGGTGTTCAGACACACTTATGTTAACTATCACAGTCATTTAACTTCTACAGGTAAAGGCTACAGGTGTAGAGGCAGTGGTATGAGATTATTGTAGGTCACAAATGGTACCCTATTCCCTATATAGAGCCCTATGGGCCCTGGTCATAAGTAGTGCACTATATAGGGAATAGAGTGCCATTTGGGACGCATCCTAAGACACATACTCTGCGATGGTGAGCAGGTGTTTGGAGGTGTCCATCTGGATCTCCATGTTGCTGTTGTCCAGCTCCATCAGGCTCTTCCTGATCTCCATCTGGCTCCTGAAGGCCTCTAGGAGCTGTTCCCTCAGCTGGTCCATCTCTGCCCGGCTTGCCTGCGTGCTGTGGGCCTGCACCTCCGCTACATTGATGTCAGGGGAGGAGAGAAGTTACTGTCTGTTGGAGGCAAACACACACACACACACGTTTTGTTCTTCTGTCCTCGTGGGGACCTAAAATGAATTTCCATTGTGGCGACCTAAAATGAATTTCCATTGTGGGGACCTAAAATGAATTTCCATTGTGGGGACCTAAAATTAATTTCCATTGTGGGGACCTAAAATTAATTTCCATTGTGGGGACCTAAAATTAATTTCCATTGAGGGGACCTAAAATTAATTTCCATTCAAAATCCTATTTTCCCTAAACCTAACCTTAACCTTAACCCTAACCCAAACCCTAACTCCTAAGCTTAAAATAGCATTTGTCCTCATGGGGATGTGGGAAATGTCCCCACGAGGCAGAATTTTCCTTGTCTTACTATCCTTGTGGGGACTTTGGGTGATTTTAGGTCCCCACAAAGATAGAAGAACCAACCAACACACGCACTCTGTGAGGAAGCGAGGGAGCAATTAGAGAGGTCAAGGTAAGGTCATTACCCTGGACATGGCGAATGTCAGCTCGGTCAAGGTTGAGCTGACGTCCAGACTGATCAGCGATCTTCTTCTTGAGCCGCTGGATCTCGCTGCGCAGGTCAGAGATTATGTTGGTGTACTGAGCGATGTGGTAGGACACATTCAGCAGGTTCCTCTTCACCTGGAGTGGAGAGAGATAACTGTGTTATAACAGTGTAATAACTGTGTTATAACTGTAATAACTGTGTAATAACATGTTGGTGTACTGGATGATGTAGTAGCACACGTTCAGCAAGGAGGAACCCAATTGATTAACTATGAAGCCTAATGTTGACTGGTTTGGTGCTTTGATATAACTGTGTTATACTGCAGACCTAAAGGCATCTTTAACTTGCTCTTTTGGGGGGTCTAGGCTGGTTGACTGTAAATCACTTTGTGATAACTGTTGAATTAAAAAGGGCTTTTTAAATGACATTTGATTGGTTGATTGATTGATTGATTTTAAAATTGAAAGAGCAGAGAAAAACTTCAGTTGTCCCATACCTCAGCGATGGAGAGAAGACAGAAATGTTTGATGTGCTGTGTGTTGTGTATTAACTCACCCGCGTGCGAATACTTTTGGCACGGTCGGCGTAGCTAAGTGTGTTGCGAGACTCCTCGAAGGCCAGGGAGGCAGGGCTAATGTGGGCTATCATCACTGTGCGACTGTTGCCGCCCAACGAGTCCTGTCAATCAAACACATAAGAACAGGAAGTGAATGAATGCAAGTGGAATGCAGAATAATCTGTCTGAATGATGAAAAAATACAGCAAAAAGTTGCATTGTATTGTACTGTTTTGTATTGTATTGTTTCATATGGTATGGTATAGTATTGTAGTGTAGTGTATTGTATTCATAAAGCACGTGGCAAGTCAGGACAGTTTGTCTTAGAAGGGTTGCCGTACTGTACCTTGAGCAGGCGCGTCAGCTTGCTGTCCCTGTAGTTAATGTATTTGTTGGCGTGTTTCTCACTCAGGGCGTTGATGCAGTTACCCAGAGCCAGGAGGGAGCGGTTGATGTGGGCCCCTTCTTTTAACCTCTGACCTCTGTTCTGTGTCTGGGAGAGCGAGAGGGAGCAGGTTTACTATCTGGCCTCATGTTCCAGACAATCAATTTTGCTGATCAAACTGACTGATCTACAAATAATAAAGAGTGATTATTTAGGATGCAAGGTGATTTGTATGTAGATCAGTCAGTCTGTCTGCACTGCAGTCACTGACGGCAATGTAGTCGATCTTGAACATGCCATTGTCTCCATTTGCTGAGTTCCAGGCCAAGACAGATACTGCCACTGTTAACCAGCAGAGGGCGCTCTAACCTTCCTTTTCTCTCCTCTGCCTGTGACATTGGAAGAGTAGCCAGTAAATAAAATCAGCGTTTTATAACCACTTAGGAGTTACTATGGACAGTGTCAGTGTCATAACACAGTAAGTTTATTATAATGCATTATAAAGGACGTTATTATATATGTATTTTATAGAAAGTGTTACCAGTCTTTCTATTTATAGGTAACTGCCAAAATAAAGGAAACACTTGACTAAATGAGGGATACATTTTAGTCATTTAGCAGACGCTCTTATCCAGAGCGACTTACAGTTAGTGAGTGCATACATTTTCATACTGGTCCCCTGTGGGAATCGAACCCACAACCCTGGCATTGCAAGCGCCATGCTCTACCAACTGAGCTACACGGGACTATACAAAGTATATTGAAAGCAGGTGCTTCCACACAGTCGTGGTTCCTGAGTTAATTAAGCAATTAACATCCCAAACTGCTTAGAGCCATGTATAAAAACTTCCTGTTGCCCATTATTTTAGCTACCATGACTAGAAGAAGAGATCTCAGTGACTTTGAAAGAGGTGTCTCAAAGGAGCATAGGGGGTTTAAAGTGTGTGAGTGTGTATCTCAGTCACCAGATTGCAACCCAATTGAACACTTATGGGAGATTCTGGAGTGGTGCCTGAGACAGTTTTTTTCACCACCTTCAATAAAACAGCAAATGATGGAATTTCTTGTGGAAGAATGGTGTCGCATCCCTCCAATAGACTTCCAGACATTTGTAGAATCTATACCAAGGTGCATTGAATCTATTCTGGCGGCTCGTGGTGGCCTAATGCCCTATTAAAACACTTTATGTTGGTGTTTCCTTTATTTTGGCTGCTACCAGTACATTTTTACTCTCTAACTCAAGAGAAAATATCCCTTCAAAAGAGGTAGTGCCCCCTCTATTCTCTGTATCTAAAAAGACTGGTGGCCTTTAGGCTATGGTATACATCCATTGAAGAGCCTAGCTGGTTAACCTTTCTAAAGGTTTCCATGGTAAATAACTGTTCTCTCCGTTCAGACATGATTGCATGTTTTTCACATGGCTACGTCCCAAATGGCACCCTATTCCCTGTATAGTACACTACTTTTGATCAGAGCCCTACGGGCACTGGTCAAAAGTAATGCACACAATATAGGGAATAGGGTGCCATTTGGGACGTACCCATGGTGTATAGGAGGTCTGGCTGGTTTAATATGGATGCTAATCTAACAACATTCATCATGAATGACATGTCAATGTCTGTGTTGGTTAAGCGCTTCGCCTTAATTAGAATGTCTACAGGAAGCTGCAGCAACTAATTGGAGAAGCAAATGGCTAATATGAAGCCTTCAGTGTTCATGGGAAAAATGTAAAGTATAACAAATGTGAAAAGGCTGGCAATTGTTTGAAAACTTTAGTACATGCCCTATGTTCCTCCAGGAATGAAGATAATGAAGTAAGTAAATAAATCTGAAAAATATTTATAGTTAACACTTTTGTGTCATATACTGTGTCACAAACGACCCCAACTATTTCACATAATACATTGTCTCCGTCCCAAATGGCATTCTATTTCCTTTATAGTGCACTACTTTTTGACCAGGGCCCATGGCTCAAAAGTAGTGCACTATAGGGAATAGGGTTAGGGTGCCATTTGGGATGCAAACATTCTGTTGGCAGACTCCAATTGCAATCTGTTCAACAAAAGTGACCAGCACCATAAAACTGTGCTATAAAAGTCAGCACCATATCAACTATATAAGCCATTTAGTAATCGTTTATAACCCTGGCATAAGGAAGACGTTGATAGACGGTCAACAGTAAGAATTACATAAGCGGTGCCAACTATATGGACATTAACCCCTTCTTTCCCTCAATGGTGGGCCAATCATGGTCTAGAATGTAAATGTATGGTGCTTTACACTGTGAAGGGCCTTTATTAAAGTGTCCTATAAACCTCAGGGCTGCATACAAATGGCACCCTATTCCCTACATAGTGCACTACTTTTTGATGAGGGCCCTATGGATGTTAGAGCAAATATAGGGATTAGAGAGCCATTTGGGATGCAGACTTGAGGTTTATAGGTTATCCAGTTCCCTCTAGGAGAGATTAATAGCAGGGACGGGGCTGATAAAGTGACAAAAACAGTGTCCCTATGTACTGTCGTAAAACATGGCTGTCAAATAACCCAGAGGGGACAAACACACAGAGAGGACCAACTCACCCCCCCCCCCCCCCCCCCGTACACACACACACACACACACACACACACACACACACACACACACACACACACACACTGTAATGTCTGGGAGGAGACTGTGCTGTTATGTAATGGACACAAGTAACAGATCATAACAAGAGGTGAAAAGAGGACACAGAAACAGGTATGTTTGCAGACAAATGCATGCACACACACACACACACACACACACAAAAGCACACATACTTTTGTACCTGTGAGGCTCGTTCGGAGCCAGCGAGGTCGATCATGAAGAGGCGTGCGAAGCGGACCTCCTGTAGAAGGTCTCGACAGCGGCTCGTCTGCCTGACAGCCACCTGCAACACGGCGTGGGACCGGGACGATGTCTGGTTGGCTGCCGTGGGCTCTTGGGTACGCTGCTTATTACCCTTCATCAGCAGCTCCATGATCTGGCAGGAACACAGTCATTAAGCTTTATGTAGATTTAATGTAATGTTTATGACGTGCTCGTAGATGTGTTATGTACACTCAAAAAAATGCTGGATTAAAAACAACTCAGCGCTGGGTACATAGTGGACAGAACACTCGTTGGGTTATTTTGAAACAGCCAGTTGGGTCACTTATATGTTTGTTTTCTTTGAGGCATGGCTTAGTAGGGGCATGGCATTCGGATAGTTATTGTTGGCCACCCGTGTCTTCACTGACATTTTCAAAATGTCCCTGACTGAGTCTGTAATACCAACATGTTTCAAGAAGACCACCATAGACCCTGTGCCCAAGAACACTAAGATAACCTGCCTAAATGACTACCGACACAGTAGCACTCACGTCTGTAGCCATGAAATGCTTTGACCCTGCCAAGCCGCACTGCTTCTTGACACACTGCTCGCTTAACCCGGAAGCCAGCCGCACCAATGTGTCGGAGGAAACACTGTCCAGCTGGCGACTGAAGTCAGCTTGCAGGCACCCGGCCCGCCACAAGGAGTCGCTAGAGTGCAATGGAACAAGGAAATCCCGGCCGGCCAAACCCTCCCCTAACCCGGACGACGCTGGGCCAATTGTGCACCACCTCAAGGGTCTCCCGGTCACGGCCGGCTGTGACACAGCCTGGGATCGAACCGCTGCAAACCTCGGGAGGCCTCAGATGGTTCTTTTTGGCCACCCGTTAGAGTAAATGTCATTCATGTTCATCATATTACATTTCTATTTTCTTTCAATATTGTTGCACATTACATACAGTACCAGTCAAAAGTTTGGACACGCCTACTCATTCAAGGGTTTTTCTTTATTTTTACTATTTTCTACATTGTAGAATAATAGTTAAGACATCAAAACTATGAAATAACACATATGGAATCATGTAGTAAGCAGAAAAGTGTTTAAACAAATCAAAATATATTTTATATTTGAGATTCTTCAACGTAGAAGTTTCTTCAAAGCCTTGATGACAGCTTTGCACACTCTTGGCATTCTCTCAACCAGCTTCACCTGGAATGCTTTTCCAACAGTCTTGAAGGAGTTCCCACATATGCTGAGCACTTGTTGGCTGCTTTTCCTTCACTCTGCGGTCCAACTCATCCCAAACCATCTCAATTGGGTTGAGGTCGGGTGATTGTTGAGGCCAGGTCATCTGATGCAGCACTCCATCACTCTTCTTCGTGGTAAAACAGCCCTTACACAGCCTGGAAGTGTGTTGGGTCATTGTCCTGTTGAAAAACAAATGATAGTCCACTAAGAGCAAACCAGATGGGTTGGCATATCGCTGCAGAATGCTGTGGTAGCCATGCTGGTTAAGTGTGCCTTGAATTCTAAATAAATCACAGACAGTGTCACCAGCAAAGCATCCCCACACCATCACACCTCCTCCTCCATGCTTCACGGTGGGAACCACACATGCGGAGATCATCCGTTCACCTACTCTGCGTCTCACAAAGACACGGCGGTTGGAACCAAACATCTCCAATTTGTACTCCAGACCAAAGGACACATTTCCACCGGTCTAATGTCCATTGCTCGTATTTCTTGGCCCAAGCAAGTCTCTCCTTATTATTGGTGTCCTTTAGTAGTGGTTTCTTTGCAACAATTCGACCATGAAGGCCTAATTCACGCAGTCTCCTCTGAACAGTTGATGTTGAGATGTGTCTGTTACTTGAACTCTTTGAAGCATTTATTTGGGCTGCAATCTGAGGCTGGTAACTCTAATGAGCGTATCCCTTGCAGCAGAGGTAACTCTGGGTCTTCCTTTCCTCTGGCGGTCCTCATTAGAGCCAGTTTCATCATAGCGCTTAATGTTTTTTGCGACTGCACTTGAAGAAACGTTCAAAGTTCTTGAAATGTTCCAGATTGACTGACCTTCATGTCTTAAAGTTATGATGGACTGTCATTTCTCTTTGCTTATTTGAGCTGTTCTTGCCATTATATGGGCTATCTTCTGTATACCACCCCTACCTTGTCACAACACAACTGATTGGCTCAAACGCATTAAGAAGGAAAGAAATTCCACAAATTAACTTTTAACAAGGCACACCTGTTAATTGAAATGCATTCCAGGTGACAACTCATGAAGCTGGTTGAGAGAATGCCAAGAGTGTGCAAAGCTGTCATCAAGGCAAAGGTTGGCTATTTGAAGAATTTGATTTGTTTAACACGTTTTTGGTTACTACATGATTCCATATGTGTTATTTCATAGTTTTGATGTCTTCACTATTATTCTACAATGTAGAAATTAGTAAAAATAAAGAAAACCCCTTGAATGAGTAGGTGTGTCCAAACTTTTGACTGGTAATGTATTTTAACGAACATTTACTAACAGTATTATTTAAATATTATAACAAAGTGGCATAGGCTCCAGGAATTCATACTCTTGCGTAAGACTCATAAAAGAACAAAAGTGTCAGTGCTCAACCTTAACATGTGATGACAATACAACAGAACATGAACCGGAATGACAGTTACACTATATATACAAAAGTATGTGGACACCCCTTCAAATTAGTGGATTCGGCTATTTCAGCCACACCCGTTGCCATGCAATCTCCATAGACAAACATTGGCAGTAGAATGGCCTTACTGAAGAGCTCAGTAACTTTCAACATGGCACCATCACAGGATGCCACCTTTCCAACAAGTCAGTTCATCAAATTTCTGCCCTGCTAGAGCTTTCCCCGGTCAACTGAAAGTGCTGTTATTGTGAAAAGGAAACGTCTAGGAGCAACAACGGCTCAGCCGCGAAGTGGTAGGTCACACAAGCTCACAGAACGGTACCGTCTGTCCTTGGTTGCAACACTCACCACCAAGTTCCAAACTGCCTCTGGAACCAACATCAGCACAAGAACTGTTCGTCGGGAGCTTAATGAAATGGGTTTTCATGGCCGAGCAGCCGCACACAAGCCTAAGAACACCATGCGCAATGCCAAGCGTCGGCTGGAGTGGACTTTTGGTAATGTAGTGTACTCTCGCAGGTGGCCAAAAATAACTATTTGAAAGCCACACCCCTACTAAGCCATGCCCCCAGTCTTCTGATCTGACCCGGTGGTCATAGCTCAATAACCCAACAACCCAACTAAGTGACCCAACTGGCTGGGTCAAAATAACCCAACATATGTTCTGTCCAATATTTACCCAAATTGAGTTGTTTTTTAACCCAGCATTTTTTCAAGTGTAGGCTTCATAATATACAATATACTGATTTAGAATAATGTATGGATTGTGTATGTGTTTTATGTACTGTATAGTGTGTGATCTGGAGTAGCATGGAGTAAGTGTTCCCAGGTGTGAACGCTCACCTCTCGGGCGTTGATAGTGGAGACCTCTGTGATGCCAGCCACCTGGATCTCTCCTTTAGAGTCCTCTCTCAGGTCCAGGAACCCAGAGGACGGGTTGAGAAGGTCCCGGATCATCTCGTTGTAGATCTGGGAACACAACACAGGGAATGGTCAGGGGAGTCAGGAAGTTTCTCCTCAGCTTCCAAATCAAATCTCAAAAGCTCAACATCCAAGGAATTGTTAGATCCAATTAATTCTCATATCCAAGGAATTGTTATAGTGACAGTTGGGAGAAACATGAGTTAAGTTTCCATTGGGGAGTTTTCTTTTGGAGTTGATGACACAATGGTTTTGGGACACTACCAGTCAAAAGTTTGGACACATCTACTCATTCAATAGTTTTTCTTAATTTTTTTACTATTTTCTACATTGTAGAATAATAGTGAAGACATCAAAACTATGAAATAAAGTGTTAAACAACTCAAAATATATTTTATATTTGAGATTCTTCAAATAGCCACCCTTTGCCTTGATGACAGCTTTGCACACTCTTGGCATTCTCTCAACCAGCTTCATGAGGTAGTCACCAGGAATCCATTTAAATTAACAGGTGTGCCTTCTTAAAAGTTAATTTGAGGAATTTTTTCCGTCTTAATAAGTTTGAGCCAATCAGTTGTGTTGTGACAAGGTAGGGGTGGTATACAGAAGATAGCCTTATTTGGTAATAGACCAAGTCCATATTATGGCAAGAACAGCTCAAATAAGCAAAGAGAACATTTCAAGAACTTTGAAAGTTTCTTCAAGTGCAGTCGCAAAAACCATTAAGCGCTATGATGAAACTGGCTCTCACGAGGACCGCCACAGGAATGGAAGACCCAGAGTTACCTCTGCTGCAAGGGATACGTTCATTAGAATTACCAGCCTCAGAAATTGCAGCCCAAATAAATGCTTCACAGAGTTCAAGTAACAGACACATCTCAACATCAACTGTTCAGAGGGGACTGTGTGAATCAGGCCTTCATGGTCGAATTGCTGCAAAGAAACCACTACTAAAGGACACCAATAATAAAAAGAGACCTGTTGGGCCAAGAAACACGAACAATGGACTTTAGACAGGTGGAAATTTGTCCTTTGGTCTGGAGTCCAAATTGGAGATTTTTAGTTCAAACCGCTGTGTCTTTGTGAGACTCGGTGTGGGTGAACGGATGATCTCCGCATGTGTAGTTCCCACCGTAAAGCATGGAGGAGGAGGTTTTATGGTGTGGGGGTGCTTTGCTGGTGACACTGTCTGTGATTTATTTAGAATTCAAGGCACACTTAACCAGCATGGCTACCACAGCATTCTGCAGCGATACGCCATCCCATCTGGTTTGGGCTTAGTGGGACTATCATTTGTTTTTCAACAGGACAATGACCCAACACACCTCCAGGCTGTGTAAGGGCTATTTTACCAAGAAGGAGAGTGATGGAGTGCAGCATCAGATGACCTGGCCTCTACAATCCCCCGACCTCAACCCAATTGAGATGGTTTGGGATGAGTCGGATGGCAGAGTGAAGGAAAAGCAGCCAACATGTGCTCAGCATATGTGGGAACTCCTTCAAGACTGTTGGAAAAGCATTCCAGGTGAAGCTCCTTAAGAGAATGCCAAGAGTGTGCAAAGCTGTCAACAAGGCAAAGGGTGGCTATTTGAAGAATCTCAAATATAAAATATATTTTGATTTGTTTAACACTTTTTTGGTTACCGCATGATTCCATATGTGTTATTTCATAGTTTTGATGTATTCACTGTTATTCTACAATGTAAAAAATAGTAAAAAAATACTTGAATGAGTAGGTGTGTCCAAACCTTTGACTGGTACTGTACATGGAAAATACCTCCTGCAAAGTATATACACTTGAAAGGTCTAAAACTAGTACTGTACATAAACTCTTTTGTTGTTTTACTAACTCCTAATTTAGCTAGCCCAACTTGTTCTGTGACAGTCTGTCGTCAGCAGCTCAAGTTGCTTTCATACAGGCTGATCATTCTGTGTTGACTGTGATTTCATGTGGAGAGCTCTTATCCCCACATCAACAAAGTGACAACCAGGAAGAGAGAGAGAGAGAGAGAGAGAGAGAGAGAGAGAGAGAGAAGAGAGAGAGAGAGAGAGAGAGAGAGAGAGAGGAGAGAGAGAGAGAGAGAGAGAGAGAGAGAGAGAGAGAGAGAGAGGAGAGAGAGAGAGAGAGAGAGAGAGAGAGAGAGAGAGAGAGAGAGAGAGAGAGAGAGAGAGAGAGAGAGAGAGAGAGAGAGAGAGAGAGAGAGAGAGAGACCACTTGGAGACTTGGGATAGACTGGGATGTGTGGCAGCAGGGGAGGGTAGAACATAGTGTGCAAGTAAAGAAAACAAAACACTTCTCTCCTGCAGAGTAGGCTATCCTTGTTCATAACCAACCCCAGAACCACTCTAAACTCACTTAAGGGGAAATAATGATTGAGACAGACAGGAGAATGTTTATCCAGTTATTCTTACCATCTAAACTCTTTCAGTTCAGGTGAAGGGGAAAAACACATCTCCTCTCATTAGGGTAGTAACATATGAAGACAGGGTAAAAACATAGGAGCTTTTCATAGAATAGAATAGAAGCTGAACTAAGTGCATGGGTGTTAAATGAGCAAGTGTGTGTATGCATGTGTTCTTGTGTGCATATTTGTAATTAGTTTATGTTTGTGTAATAACAGGTTAAACAGGAGGCTGATTTGAAAGAGAAAGGCAGCAGTGAGAGCAGATGTGAGTATGGTTTTAGCAGTGCTATAAAACACCACTGAACCTCTCTGTGTAGTGATAGGAGGACTGAAAGAGGGCAGCAGCAGGCAGCAGGTTGCTCCCTAGAGGCCAACAAGACAAACACACACGATGTCACAGTCCAGCCATCACAGAGCTGGACAGGACTACAGTACGAAACGTATGCTACGGGCATCCAGTGTTACCTTCAACTTTATTAATCATGTGTTGCTACTCTCTACTACTGCACCCACTCATTTATTGCAGAATATTTTGTAAAATAATAGCTTGTAGAATAGCTTGTAGTAGAAGCACAAAGTAGCGAGTTTCAAACTTCAAACCAATGGCATTGTGCCCTTTGTATGTCTTACGCATTCTGCAATCAACGCTCATTTCTTCCAAACACAAGGACTGTCGCTCATTCTACTCTAGAAATATTTTTCTGGTGTATGTCTTTGGCTGATTGAGCGTTCTCTCCATTTTTGTTCTTTTTAATAAAGAGCTGTCTATCATCTGTCACTTTCTTTCTCTTTCTACCTAGATGAAGATAGGATGAACAACTTAGAATGAATCTCTGCATGCGTCACTGTTTGCTTAGAAGGAATACCACTATGTTAATAATAAGCCATAATCATGAGAAGGTTGCTACATCACTCCTTGTCAAGGTTTCTTTTCATTATGGTGATTGTTCCTGGAAAGAAATTGGGAATTAAGTGTACAAAAGAAGCACAATGGGAAGCTACGCTTGCATACAAAAGGAACCACTTTCAAATACTGACAAAGTAGTCAATAAGTATTCAACCCCTTTGTTATGGCAAACCTAAATAAGTTCAGGAGTAAAAATGTGCCTAACAAGTCACATAATAAGTTGCATGGACTCACTCTGTGCCCTAACAAAAAATGTATCAACCCCTACAGGCATCCTTCCTCACTCAGTTGCCAAAGAGGAAGGAAATCGTGGCCAATGGTGACTTTAAAACAGTTTTTGGCTGTGATAGGAGAAAACTGAGGATGGATCAATAACATTGTAGTTACACCACAATACTAACCTAATTGACAGAGTGAAAATAAGGAAGCCTGTACTGAATAAAAAATATTCCAAAACATGCATCCTATTTGCAACAAGGCAAACGCAATTAAGTTTTTGTCCTGAATACAAAGTGTTACGTTTGGGGCAAATCCAATACAACACATTACTGAGTACCACTCTCCATATTTCCAAGCATAGTGGTGGCTGGATCATGTTATGGGTATGCTTGTAATCGTTAAGGACTGGGGAGTTTTTCAGGATAAAAAAGAAATGGAATGAAGCTAAGCACAGGTTTAGTCTGCTTTCCACCAGACACTGGGAGATTAATTCACCTTTTAGCAGGACAATAACCTAAAATACAAGGTCAAATCTACACTGGAGTTGCTTACCAAGAAGACAGTGAATGTTCCTGAGTAGCCAAGTTACAGTTTTGACTTAAATCTACTTGAAAATCTATGGCAAGACAAGAAAATGGTTGTCTAACAATGATCAACAGAGTTTGAAGAATTTTTAAAAGAATAATGGGCAAATGTTGCACAATCCAGGTGTGGAAAGCTCTTAGAGACTTACCCAGAAAGACTCACAGCTGTAATCGCTGCCAAAGGTGCTTCAACAAAGTATTGACTCAGGGGTGTGAATACTTATGTAAATGAGATATTTCTGTATTTCATTTTCAATAAATTTGCAAAACTGTCTAAAAAACATGTTTTCAATTTTTTATATTCAGGCTGTAACACAACAAAATGTGGAATAAGTGAAGGGGTATGAATACTTTCTGAAGGCACTGTATGTAATCAAGATATATTAGTGGTTTATTTTTCATATTTTGTTTTACAAATGTTTTTCTTCCACTTTGACATTACAGAGTATTGTGTGTAGATTGTTGACAATTAAATCTATTTCAATTCCACCTTGTAACACAACAAAATGTGGAAAAAGTGAAGGGGTGTGAATACTTTCTGAAGGCACTGTATCTGCATGACTATCAACATGAACTGTTAAATAAACAGAAATGCAGTTGTGGTTATAAGTTAGTATACTATATGGCACTACATCACTGTTGATGACCTTAGCTGAACTGAAAGCCTTGTGGGTCAGGTGATAGGGCAGTTTGTTATAGCACAAGTAGGCTGCTGACAGCTGTGTTAGATGTGTGTTATTAGACATGTTGTCAGGGTATTCCTAAGAGAAATAATGGCAGACACAGGTTGCGTCCCAAAATAGCATCCTATTCCCTATATAGTGTACTACTTTTGAAATGTAGTGCACTATATAGGGAATTGGGTGTCATTTGGAAAGCAGAAATAGACACAGTATGTATTCTCACCTCCAGGTATGACATGGAGATGTTGTACTGCATGTCATCGCTGGTCTCCTCGATGGCTTTGAACAGGTCATTTAGAGTCCGTACGTAAATCCCTGGTTCCCTGTCCGTCCCCAACATAGTGTACGTCTTCCCACAACCTGAGCACAGACACACACGCACACACACAAAGAGGGAAAATATGCACAATTACAGTTTGCAGTTTGAGTTGAAGGGGAAAATAGTATCAATACCAAACAACTTGATCATTGAATAGTGTCAATTTCAGTGTCATTACTATATTTTTCTGCAAGCTAACTGTAAGTCGCTCTGTATAAGAGCGTCTGCTAAATGACTAAAATGTAAATGTAAAATGTAAGATCAGTTCACTTAAAGGAGAAGTTTTATTCTTTACTCCAAATCTACATTTTTTATGTCAATGGTATCCCCGCTAGCACATCTGGTTCTTTGGAAGTTGTGGGAACGTATGTTTTTGGTTTCCCATTGGTTCTGGGAACGAAGTCGTAAGTTTCCTGATCGGTAAAACTGAACGTTTTTTTTACGTTCTGAGAACGAAAGTGAACATTTCACCTGTTCTGGGAACATACATTTTTTGGTTGCAAGGAGGATCTGAGAACGTTTTACTATATTTTCCTGGGAAGTTTTATTAATGTTCTGAGAACGGAAATTATAGGTAATTTGAAGGTAATTAAATAATGTTCTGAGAACATTTTTCTGTTTCTTTTAATAACACTGCTAGCTTAGGTTAACTGTTTTGAACACAGATAGGACAATTGGAAATTAATTTTCTTAGGCATTAATCAGGCAAACACATTTATTTTTTATTGTGGCATGGCATCAGTGAGATTCAAACCTATGATCTTAATTTCTTAATGCCATTGTTTTTTTACTCATACCAAGCTGTTCATTTTAGTCTATTCAAATAGACCCCATTTCAAAGGAAACTTGCACTCATTAAGATCAGTTATGACCAATTAGAAGGCGCGGCCAACACACTTGAACACACTTAACAAGATAGAGGATAGAGAGTTTTGTTGACGCTGAGAACGAAATGACTGTGTTTTTAAATAACATTCTCAGAACGTTCTTTGAACATTACTAATGTATTGTTGTGTTTTTTATGGTAAGTTTTCTTAATGTTCTGAGAACATGACTTTAAATAGAACTATGAGGAAACCTGCAGAAAACGTTACGCTAAAGTACTGAAATTCCCACAGAACAACAATGTTTCTTAACGTTCTCTAAACAATATGAGAACATGACTAAATAGAACCATGAGAAAACCTGTAGAAAACGTTATGCTGAAGTACTGAAATTCCCACCTAAGAAACATATGGTTCTCAGAACGTTAAGTGCTAGCTCGGTATCCTGCACCATTCCCAGAAAGTTGTGGCATGGTTGTATGCTAAATAACCATAGGACAACCACGCTCTCACCAAGCTCTAAGAAACATATGGGTCTCAGAATGTTATGTGCTAGCTGGGATGTTATGGAAGGGTCCAGACACCTTTTTTTGTGATTTCACTTGTTTTTGAGAACCTTACCCTAAACAGCAAATTCTCAAAAACAAGTGAAAATACACAAAAAATTCTAGAACATGCCATTTACAATACATCAGAAATAGAGATATGGTTGTAAAAAAGAAAACTTCTCCTTTAAGTTCAGTTCATTTATTTGCCCTTTTACAGGAATTTGTCTCACATTCAGTAGCTGTACACTACTTTTAAACTCAATATTAAAAGGCCTTCTTGTTGAAAGCTTAACCCCAGTCAAGCTCTATTCCCTGAAATCATGCCTGTTTTGGTCGAGGAGGACAGCCTGGTCACAAGATCTTAATTCTGTTTTGGACAACAAGACTGCGACACACTGAGTTTAATTAGTTTAATTAGAGATGAGCAGAGATTAAGAGCGGTGAGTCTACAGGGAGAGACAGACAGCAGGAAGGAGGGAGGAAGGGATGGAGGGGAAGATTACTTTTGGGTCTGTTGTATCTGTCTTTCTAGGTAGTGACTGTCTGTCTGAGCCCTGCTTCTCGGCAGTCAGGTGCTCCCTACGGAACAATTTCCTGTCTTCCTATTAAAAGCAGAATGAGAGATGACACGCAACACCCCTCCCCAGTCCATATGGTAACAAATCTGAGTAATTAAAATATAGAACCACCAGATTAATCAAGTGGAAAAGGAAGATAGCGCTATATGAGTTTGATTATATGGCTGTAATGGGCAAAAAAATAAGAAATAACTTGGATAAAAATACATGCAGTCAGGATCATCAACCCCCAGGCTGATTATTTCCTTTGTAATGTTCTCCCCTGGTGCCCAGTGGGTGGTAGATGAGGACAACACACACAGGGACAGAGGACACATGCACACATGCATTCACACACATGCACACAGTTAGAATAGAGGATATGGCAGCTATGACAAACCTGTGGGTCCATAGGCGAAAACGGTGGCGTTGTAGCCAGATATGAGGCCTTCGATTAGGCCCTTGGTCGTGGCTCTGTACACCTCCTCCTGGTTAGCTGAGTAGTCAAACGCCACGTCGAACATATAGGTCTTTTCCCGGGAGCGGTTGGCACGCAGGATATCATCTGGATCCTCCATGGGGTCCATCAGAACCACCATCTACAGCAGAGAGGAAGGGAGGGAGGGAGGGAGGGAGGGAGGGAGGGAGGGAGGGAGGAGGAAAGAGGGATGAAAAATAGTGAGAAAGGGATATTTTAATGATTAGTCATCACACCACAGAAACATCATTGCATAACAAATAATAATACTTTTCGTTTTAAAAATGAACATTAAAAAGTCAAATCATCTGGATGAATCTGTCAGTAGAGAATGACTGCTATTATCCAGGAGGCAAGGCTTGTGACACCCACTACACACCAATGTATGCAAATGCACTCAAAGAAATGCTGGGTTAAAAACAACTCAATTTGGGTAAATATTGGACAGAACACATGTTGGGTTATTTTGACTCTGCAGTTGGGCCACTTGACAACCCATTGCCAAAGCAAGGTTCAGTTGTTGAAGCTGGGTTATTGAGCCACGTTCAGAGAAGGGCAGTATTTCTGTTACATGTATTTGAAATACGTACAGTACCAGTCAAAAGTTTGGACACACCTACTCATTCAAGGGTTTTTCTTTATTTTTACTATTTTCTACATTGTAGAATAGTAGTGAAGACATCAAAACTATTAAATAACACATATGGAATCATATAGTAACCAAAAAAGTGTTAAACAAAGTAGCCACCCTTTGCCTTGATGACAGCTTTGCACACATTTGGCATTCTCTCAACCAGCTTCATGAGGTAGTCACCTGGAATGCATTTAAATTAACAGGTGTGCCTTCTTAAAAGTTAATTTGTGGAATTTATTTCCTTCTTAATGCATTTGAGCCAATCAGTTGTGTTGTGACAAGGTAGGGGTGGCATACAGAAGATAGCCCTATTTGGTAAAAGACCAAGTCCATATTATGTCAAGAACAGCTCAAATAAGCAAAGAGAAAAGACAGTCCATCATTACTTTAAGACATGAAGGTCATTCAATACGGAACATTTCAAGAACTTTGAAAATTTCTTCAAGATCAGTCGCAAAAACCATCAAGCGCTATGATGAAACTGGCTCTAATGAGGACCGCCAGAGGAAAGGAAGACCCAGAGTTACCTTTGCTGCAGAGGATAAGTTCATTAGAGTTACCAGCCTCATAAATTGCAGCCCAAATAAATGCTTCACAGAGTTCAAGTAACAGACACATCTCAACATCAACTGTTCAGAGGAGACTGTGTGAATCAGGCCTTCATGGTCGAATTGCTGCAAAGAAACCACTACTAAAGGACACCAATAAGAAGAATAGACTTGCTTGGGCCAAGAAACACGAGCAATGGACATTAGACCGGTGGAAATCTGTCCTTTGGTCTGGAGTCCAAATTGGAGATGTTTGGTTCAAACCGCCGTGTCTTTGTGAGACGCAGTGTAGGTGAACGGATGACCTCCGCATGTGTAGTTCCCACCGTGAAGCATGGAGGAGGAGGTGTGATGGTGCTTTGCTGGTGACACTGTCTGTGATTTATTTAGAATTCAAGGCATACTTAACCAGCATGGCTACCACAGCATTCTGCAGCAATACGCCATCCCATCTGGTTTGGAATTAATGGGACTATCATTTGTTTTTCAACAGGACAATGACCCAAAACACACATCCAGTCTGTGTAAGGGCTATTTGACCAAGAAGAACAGTGATGGAGTGCTGCATCAGATGACCTGGCCCCCACAATCCCCCGACCTCAACCAAATTGAGATGGTTTGGGATGAGTCGGACCGCAATGTGAAGGAAAAGCAGCCACCAAGTGCTCAGCATATGTGGGAACTCCTTTAAGACTGTTGGAAAAGCATTCCAGGTGAAGCTGGTTGTGAAAAGCTGTCATCAAGGCAAAGGGTGGCTGTTTGAAGAATCTCAAATATAAAATATATTTAGATTTTTGTAACACTTTTTTGGTTACTACATGATTCCATATGTGTTATTTCATATCATTCTACAAGGTAGAAAATAGTAAAAATAAAGAAAAACCCTTGAATGAGTAGGTGTTCTAAAACTTTGGACCGGTAGTGTATATGTAAAAATGAACAACTGCAAAGCATACTAGGTATTGTCGTTGCACATTAGAGGCTGCTGCTGCCTATTGAAATCACTGGCCACTTTAAGAAATGGAACACTAGTCACTTTAATAATGTTTACATATCTTGCACTACTCATCTCATATGTACAGTTGAAGTCGGAAGTTTACATATACCTTAAATTCAATTTTTCACAATTCCTGACATTTAATCCTAGTCAAAATTCCCTGTCTTAGGTCAGCTACGATCACCACTTTATTTTAAGAATGTGAAATGCCAGAAAAGTAGTAGAAAGAATGATTTATTTCAGCTTTTATTTCTTTCATCACATTCCCAGTGGGTCAGAAGTTTACATACACTCAATTAGTATTTGGAAGCATTGACTTTAAATTGTTTAACTTGGGTCAAACATTTCGGGTAGCCTTCCACAAGCTTCCCACAATAAGTTGGGTGAATTTTGGCCCATTCCTCCTGACAGAGCTGGTGTATCTGAGTCAGGTTTGTAGGCCTCCTTGCTCGCACACGCTTTTTCAGTTCTGCCCACAAATGTTCTATAGGTTTGAGGTCAGGACTTTGTAATGGCCACTCCAATACCTTGACTGTGTTGTCCTTAAGCCATTTTGCCACAACTTTGGAAGTATGCTTGGGGTCATTGTCCATTTGGAAGACCCATTTGCGACCAAGCTTTAACTTCCTGACTGATGTCTTGAGATGTTGCTTCAATATATCCACATCATTTTCCTTCCTCATGATGTCATCTATTTTGTGAAGTGCACCAGTCCCTCCTGCAGAAAAGCACCCCCACAGCATGATGCTGCCACCTCCGTGCTTCACGGTTTGGATGGTGTTCTTTGGCTTGCAAGCATCCCCCTTTTTCCTCCAAACATAACGATGGTCATTATGGCCAAACAGTTCTATTTTTGTTTCATCAGACCAGAGGACATTTCTCCAAAAAGTACGATCTTTGTCCCCATGTGCAGTTGCAAACCGTAGTCTGGCTTTTTTATGGCGGTTTTGGAGCAGTGGCTTCTTCCTTGCTGAGCGGCCTTTCAGATTATGTCGATATAGGACTCGTTTTACTGTGGATATAGATACCTTTGTGCCTGTTTCCTCCAGCATCTTCACAAGGTCATTTGCTGTTGTTCTGGGATTGATTTGCACTTTTCGCACCAAAGTACGTTCATCTCTAGGAGACAGAACGCGTCTCCTTCCTGATCGGTATGACGGCTACGTGGTCCCATGGTGTTTATACTTGCGTACTATTGTTTGTACAGATGAACGTGGTACATTCAGGCGTTTGAAAATTGCTCCCAAAGATTAACCAGACTTGTGGAGGTCTACCACTTGTTCCCTGAGGTCTTGGCTGATTTCTTTTGATTTTCCCATGATGTCAAGCAAAGAGGCACTGAGTTTGAAGGTAGGCCTTGAAATACATCCACAGGTACACCTCTAATTGACTCAATGATGTCAATTAGCCTATCAGAAGCTTCTAAAGCCATGACATCATTTTCTGGAATTTTCCAAGCTGTTTAAAGGCACAGTCAACTTAGTGTATGTAAACTTCTGACCCACTGGAATTGTCATACAGTGAATTATAAGTGGAATAATCTGTCTGTAAACAATTGTTGGAAAAATTACTTGTGTCATGCACAAAGTAGATGTCCTAACCGACTTGCCAAAACTATAGTTTGCTAACAAGAAATGTGTGGAGTGGTTGAAAAACGAGTTTTAATGACTCCAACCTAAGAGTATGTAAACTTCCGACTTCAACTGTAGTTCAGCCCAGTGTAATACAAAACACAAAATACTTAGGGGTAATTAAAATACATATTTCAAATACATGTAACAGACATACTGCCCATCTGGTCATAGCTCAATAACCCAACTAAGTGCCCCAACTTCTGGGTAAAAAACAACCCAATGTGTGTTCTGTCCACTACTTACACAGCGCTGGGTTGCTTTTTAACCCAGCATTTTTTAGAGTGTGGTACTCCTCTCTCACTTCTGCTACCATCTGCCACAGTTGGACTGTGAGCACCGTAATGGTTGACAGTTACCCAGCTCAGTGCAGCACAGGAGGCTGCTGAGGGGAGGCCAACTCATAATAATGTCTGGAATGGAATAAATTGAATGGTATCAACCACATTGAAACCATGTGTTTGATGTGTTCGATACCATTCAATTGATTCTGTTTCAGCTATTATTATGAGCCTGTTCTCCCCAATTAAGGTACCACTGGTCACCTCTACTGTGCAGTTAATTAAAGTGGTTAAGAGAAACTGATGGGCGCAGAAGCAGTTAGATCCAGGGGTCTGATGGTTTAAACCGGGCCTTTTATATATCTGCAGCTGGAGATACAAAGGGCCTCCTGTGGGGTAGACAGAGCCCTGCGTGCCACCGTGCCCCTCCATACCCACACAAAGTCTACATCCCAATTCCCCCTATTCCCTAGTGCACCCATAGGACCCTGGTAAAAAAGTAGTGCACTATACAGTGCATTCGGAAAGTATTCAGACCCCTTGACTTTTTCCACATTTTGTTACATTTCAGCCTTATTATAAAATGTAATTAATACATTTTTCCCCTCATCAATCTACACACAATACGCCATAATAAAAAACAGAAATACTTTATTTACATAAGTATTCAGACCCTTTGCTATGAGACTCAAAATTGAGGAATTGTCCGTAGAGCTCCGAGACAGGATTGTGTCGAGGCACAGATCTGGGGAAGAGTACCAAAACATTTCTGCAGCATTGAAGTTCCCCAAGAACACAGTGGCCTCCATCATTCTTAAATGGAAGAAGTTTGGAACCACCAAGACTCTTCCTAGAGCTGGCCGCCTGGCCAAACTGAGCAATCGGGGGAGAAGGTCCTTGGTCAGGGAGGTGACCAAGAACCCGATGGTCACTCTGACAGAGCTCCAGAGTTCCTCTGTGAAGATGGGACTAACCTTCCAGAAGGACAACAATCTCTGCAGCACTCCACCAATCAGGTCTTTATGGTAGAGTGGCCAGATGGATGCCACTCCTCAGTAAAAGGCACATGACAGCCCACTTGGAGTTTGCCAAAAGGCACCTAAAGGACTCTCAGACCATGAGAAACAAGATTATCTGGTCTGATGAAACCAAGCTTGAACTCTTTGGCATGAATCCAAGCATCACGTCTGGAGAAAACCTGGCACCATCCCTACTGTGAAACATGGTGGTGGCAGCATCATGCTGTGGGGATGTTTTTCAGCGGCAGGGACTGGGAGACTAGTCAGGTTCGAGGGAAAGATGAACGGAGCAAAGTACAGAGAGATCCTTGATGAAAACCTGCTCCAGAGTACTCAGGACCTCAGACTGGGGCGAAGGTTCACCTTCCAACAGGACAATGACCCTAAGCACACAGCCAAGATAACGCAGGAGTGGCTTCGGGACAAGTCTCTGAATGTCCTTGAGTGGCCCAGCCAGAGCCCGGACTTGAACCCGATCGAACATCTCTGGAGAGACCTGAAAATAGCTGTGCAGTGTCACTCCCCATCCAACCTGACAGAGCTTGAGAGGATCTGCAGAGAAGAATGGGAGAAACTCCCCAAATACAGGTGTGCCAAGCTTGTAGCGTCATACCCAAGAAGAATTGAGGCTGTAATCTCTGCCAAAGGTGCTTCAACAAAGTACTAAGTAAAGGGTCTGAATACTTATGTAAATGTGATATTTCAGTTTTTATTTTTTATACTTTTGCAAACATTTCTAAAAAACTGTTTTTGCTTTGTCATTATGGGGTATTGTGTGTAGATTGATGAGGGAAAAAAACAATTTTGTCAATTTTAGAATAAGGCTGTAACGTAACAAAATGTGGAAAAAGTCAAGGGGTCCGAATACTTTCCGAATGCACTGTATAGGGTACAGGGTGACATTTGGGACTCAACCAGAGTGTCTGGTGATTGATTTGAGCCATTGTGCCATCCATGTCATTTCTGAAAGGTGAACAGTATCATGCACCATCATCCACAATCATTACCCACCGGCAAGCCATACTCAGGTCTATTCAGAGTCCGCCTGGCTCTCCCTGCCGGCTCTATTCAGAGTCCATCCACAGGGGCACAGTGTCAGAATGTAATAACTGTAATAATGATGACAACTCAGGGGAAAGAGCTAGACAGTATTGCAAACATGAATCACTTCACTAAGTGGTGGTCTGGGAGACCTACCTAGCTCCCCAGAGCTCTGTTCGTCAGCAGAGGAGTGAGTCAAAGCTGGGGAGTCAGTTGGACACTGTGGTGAATATTAAAACATTGTCTTGATGTCACTCGTTATTTTGAGTAGACTTCAGGACTACTGGATGTTGTGGTGTGTTCAGGGTTTAAATGGTCTGTTCTGTTCATGTCCAGCTCTGAAGGGCTGGAGAGAGGGCCTTTAGGTTCAGGACAGTGTATGTGTGTGTGTGGTGTGTGTGTGTGTGTGTGTCTGTCTGTCTCCCTGTGTGTGTGTGCGTGTGTGTGTTTGTGACTGAATGGTCTGGGTCTGGTCTAGTATCCCCAGCACAGCATAGCCCTGTTTAATGACCCCTCAGTCATGGAGCCGCTCACTTTGAAGCCTCTTGATTGAAATTCAAGAGGAGAAATCTGACTTTTAAAAGCGTACAATTACACAGAGAAAGAGGGAACAAAACACACGCACAGACGTAATCAGCAAACAGAGGAGAGAGGTAAGAGAATGGGAGGGACGAGAGGAGGGAGAATGAGGGAGAGTCCGCTGCCCAGGACCAGACATTTTCCTCTCCTCCTTTTATACGATTGGTGTAGACTCGATGCTTTCTGTATACAGTACAGTATATTTTATTATTCCCCCTGCCAAAAGAGCTAGAGAGAAGAAGAGCTGGCATTGTTGTGAAGAAGAAGAGATGAGACCAGATGAAGACTTGACCTCAGAGAAGAGCCGGGGATCAGATGTATTTGGTTTGTTGACACCGTAGCAGCTCTCTTTCCCTTCCATCTCTCTATATCCCTCTCTCTCCTTCTTCCTCTTCCCACAGCAGCACAATTTCCTGCTGCCATAATGATGTTCTCTCTAAGATCACGTTTCTCAGGAAACATAGTATTGTATTGTAATCCATGAGCTCTTCTTCTCTTCTCTCTAGCCAGGGACAGAGACACTCAGTAACCTACAGACCTGCATCGGTCTGGTGTCCTCACCAACAACGTGACAGAACTGATGTGTTCTGTTTTGTGTGTTGTGTGTTGTGTGTGTGTGTGTGTGTGTGTGTGTGTGTGTGTGTGTGCGTGTGTGGGGTGGATATGACCTAGGATAGAAGAGAGATGGCTCTGGCCTTGACGTACTTCAACCTGTCTATCTGTCTGAGAGCCCTGCTCTACTCTACTCTGGTCAGACAGGCTGGCAGCACTTACTACTGTACCTGGCAGGCAGGGCTGTGTGCGTGTCCATGTGTCCCTGTGGGTGTTTCAGTGGGCACCAGCGAGCATATACAGTATCATGTATTTTGTTCAAGAGAGGTTCTGGTGTGCATTCAAGGATGCTCTTAGACAAGAGTGTGTTTAGTACAGTAGCATGTGTGTGTGTGTGCCTATGCTAAGGAACACCCTTTAAGGCCAACTGGGATGATTGCACACCTCTCGCATCTGTTGCCTGTGTTCCTTAGGTTACCTAGTTACCCTGTTACCCCACCTCGCCCGGTAACGCATGACAGCTGCTGGCAGGGCATCTTCTGTAGGGCGACTATTCTTAAGGCAGCTGATAAGGAGACCTGCAGCATGGTGCCAGTAGGCACAGATGCCTGGGAAACTAGGCATGCACTTGTTCCAACGTCAGTACTTGCACACTACTTAGAATGAAGCAATACATTGGGCATGCTTTCTAAGTAGTGTGCATTCTAAGTAGTACGTTGAATGCAATCTGACACACATAACTGGATGCCAGAATAGAAGACAAAAGCAGCTCTAGCTCCTCGACTGGAGTCATGGACCTCGGTCCGCCTCCAACAAGGTTCACAAGGTGACTCACTGCATTACATGGGAACAACCAGCAGTGTTTATTTAAAATAACAATGAGGGTGTTGTTGCTCTGCTCTCGATCCATGTTCCATTACTATCTTATTGATATTAACAGGCTCTTATAAAGAGCACAGGTCTGAGTTCAGTTCCAGGGTAGAATCAAGCCAGGGGTCAGTTCTAGGGCTGTATATTAGACTTGACATTTCAGTTGAATGCATTCAGTTGTACAACTGACTAGGTATCCCGCTTTACCTTTCCTTTCCCTTTTTCTGTAGGAGCTTTGGATGTCATAGTTATACCGCCCCAACACAAACGCTCCAATACAGACAGACACTCACACATAGCCTGTCAGCTGCAACCAGCAAGTCAGGGCATGCAGGGTGTGCGAAGCATGACTGACCACAGGGGTAGAGGTCTGTGTACTCAAAGATGGGCAGTATTTCTGTTACATGTATTTTAAATACGTATTTGAATTACTTGTGATTTGAGTTAGACTGGGCTGAACTACACTCCAATGTATTTTGTATTTTCAAAATATGAAATACTTTTCTATATCATTTTATATTGCGGTTCACATTTTGTGGCCCTCCTTTCAGCCTGCATCGGAATCAGAAGTCTGATAGCACTATGATGTGATAAAAGCATATGCTAAATTAACTAAATATAAATGTAAATGTAAAAATGAACAATTAAAAAGCATGCTGAGTATTATTCAAATGAGCTCCGCCTGAAACAATACACAGTGTGCTTTGCAGTTCATTTTGGTATGTTCATTTTCACATATACAGTGCCTTCAGAAAGTATTCATACCCCTTGACTTATTCCACATTTTGTTGTGTTACAGACTGAATTCAAAATGAATTAAATAGATATTTTTTTTACTTGCAAAGTATTCATCCCCCTTGGCGTTTTTCCTATTTTGTTGCATTACAACCTGTAATTGAAATGGATTTTTATTTGGATTTCATGTAATGGACATACACAAAATAGTCCAAATTGGTGAAGTGAAATGAAAAAAATAACATGTTTCAACCAATTGAGAATCTGTAGTATGACTTAAAGATTGCTGTACACCAGCGGAACCCATCCAACTTGAAGGAGCTGGAACAGTTTTGCCTCGAAGAATGGGCAAAAATCCCAGTGGCTAGATGTGCCAAGCTTATAGAGACATCCCCAAGTGACTTGCAGCTGTAATTGCTGCAATAGGTGGCTCTACAAAGTATTGACTTTGGGGGGGGGGTGAATAGTTACGCACGCTCAAGTTTTCTGTTTTTTTATTTGTTTCACAATAAAAAATACAAACCCCCCAAAATATCAATTTTAATTCCAGGTTGTAAGGCAAAGAAATAGGAAAAATGCCAAGGGGGGTGAATACTTTCGCAAGCCACTGTACTTTAGTGCCTTGTTGCATACAGGATGTATGTTTTGGAATATTTTTTATTCTGAACAGGCATCCTTCTTTTCACTCTGTCAATTAGGTTAGTATTGTGGAGTAACTACAATGTTGTTGGTTGATGCATCCTCAGTTTTCTCCTATCACAGCCATTAAACTCTGTAACTGTTTTAAAGTCACCATTGGCCTCATGGTTAAATCCTTCCTCTCCGGAAACTGAGTTAGGAAGGAAGCCTGTATCTTTGTAGTGACTGGGTGTATTGATACACCATCCAAAGTGTAATTAATAACTTCACCATGCTCAATGGGATATTCAATGTCTGTTTAAAAAAATGTTTTATCCATCTACCAATAGGTGACCTTCTTTGTGAGGCATTGGAAAACCTCCCTGGTCTTTGTGGTGGAATCTGTGTTTGAAATTCACTGCTCGACTGAGAGACCTTACAGATAATTGTATAAGTGGGGTACAGAGATGAGGTAGTCATTACAAAATCATGTTAAACACTATTATTGCACACAGAGTGAGTCCATACAATTTATTAGGTACATTTGTACTCCTGAACTTATTTAGGCTTGCCATATCAAAAGGGGTTGAATACGTATTGACTCAAGATATTTCAGCTGTTGATTTTTTTATTAATTTGTAAATATTTCGAAAAACATAATTCCACTTTGACATTATGGGGTATGTAGGCCATTGACAAAAAATTACAATTTAATCCATTTTAAATTAAGGATGTAATACAAGGGATGTGAATACTTTCTGAAGGCACTGTATGCACTTGAACTACTGAAAGCTGTCAATATCTGAGTTAAGCTCAGGCAAGGCTAAGGCCAGTCCAGTGGAGTTCATATCTCCTATCCTATCAGCCATCTTCTACCTCCTATCTCACTGGCAGACCACAGGAGAGACAAGACAATACAAGGCAAGAAAATTGAGAACTTGCAGTCAGAGATGGGCATGTATTTGAAATACTTATTTTAATTACTTCTGAGTATTTTGTAATTTGTATTACACTGGGCTGAACTACACTCCAATGTATTTTGTAACGAGATACTGTCGAGAGCTGTAATGAATATTTTCAAAATACTTTTCTATACAATTCTTTATAGCGGTTCACCATTTTGTGGCCCCCTTTCACCCTGCATTGATATTAGAAGTCTGATGGCACCATGGTGTGATAACAGCATTTGCTAAATGAACTAAATATAAATGTGTATGTAAAAATGGACAATTGCAAAGCATGCTGAATATTATTCTAATGCGCTCCACCCTGAAACAAGGTTTGTTTAGAAGGGATACAGCTTTTGACAAAATTGACTTTTCATAGCAGGTTTAGGAGAACTTAAGCAGCATTTAGGAGAATTAGGTTAAGCTGTATCCCATCGAGACATGACCACAAAACAAGGCCAATAATAATACTCAGTGTGCTTTGCAGTTCATTTTGGTATGTTCATTTTCACATATACAGTGCATTCGGAAAGTATTCAAACCCCTTGACTTTTTCCACATTTTGTTACGTTACAGCCTTACTCTAAAATGGATTAAATAGTTTTTTATCCTCATCAATCTACACACAATACCTCATAATGACAAAGCAAAAACAGGTTTTTATAAAATGCTGCAAATGTATATTTAAAAAAAATTCAAATATCACATTTACATAATTATTCAGACCCTTTACTCAGTACCTTGTTGAAGCACCTTTGGCAGCGATTACAGTCTCGAGTCTTCTTGGGTGTGACGCTACAAGCTTGGCACACTTGTATTTGGGGAGTTTCTCCCATTCTTCTCTGCAGATCCTCTCAAGCTCTGTCAGGTTGGATGGGGAGCGTCGCTGCACATTTTCTGCTATTTTCTCTCCAGAGATGTTAGATCGGGCTCAAGTCCGGGCTCTGGCTGGGCCACTCAAGGATATTTAGACTTGACCCAAAGCCACTCCTGCATTGTCTTGGCTGTGTGCTTCTGGTCATTGTCCTGTTGGAAGGTGAACCTTCGCCCCAGTCTGAGGTCCTGAGTACTCTGGAGCAAGTTTTCATCAAGGATCTCATCTTTCCCTCGATCCTGACTAGTCTCCCAGTCCTTGCCACTGAAAAACATCCCCACAGCATGATGCAGCCACCACGCTTCACCATAGGGATGGTGGCAGGTTTCCTCCAGACGTGATGCTTGGCATTCAGGCCAAAGAGTTCAATCTTGGTTTCATCAGGCCAGAGAATCTTGTTTCTCATGGTCTAAGAGTCCTTTAGGTGCCTTTTGGCAAACTCCAAGCAGGCTGTTATGTGCCTTTTACTGAGGAGTGGTTCCGTCTGACCACTCTACCATAAAGGCCTGATTGGCGGAGTGCTGCAGAGATGGTTGTCCTTCTGGAAGGTTCTCCCATCTCCACAGAGGAACTCTGGAGCTCTGTCAGAGTGACCATCGGGTTCTTGGTCACCTCCCTGACCAAGGCCCTTCTCCCCCGATTGCTCAGTTTGGCCAGGCGGCCAGTCTTGGTGGTTCCAAACTTCTTCCATTTAAGAATGATGGTGGCCACTGTGTTCTTGGGGACCTTTAATTCTGCTGAAATGAAATTCCTTGACACAATTCTGTCTCTGGGCTCTACCGACAACTCATGGCTTGGTTTTTGCTCTGACATGCACTGTCAACTGTGTGTGCCTTTCCAAATCATGTCCAATGAATTTAATTTACCACAGGTGGACTCCAATGAAGTTGTAGAAACACTGTCGTTATGGGGTATTGTGTTTAGATTGATGAGGAATATTTTTTATTGAATCCATTTTAGAATAAGGCTGTAACGTAACAAAATGTGGAAAAAGTCAATAGGTCGGAATACTTCCGAATACATTTTAGTTAACCAACATATCACAGTCATAGCAAGTAAAACGTTTCTGTAACCGTTACTGACAATGTTGATGCTGTTCGAGCCGGCTACTTGCAAATGTATTTCTGTATTTTAAAATACAAAATACATGTGTTTTAATTAAATACATTTTAAAATTCAATTATCTTGTAGTTTATTTTGATCTTTATGGTATTTTGTAATTGCATTTTGTAATTTTTGCCCACTGAGCCTGGACACATGCAGGACACGAGACCTGAGACTGATCGATGGTTCTGGTAAACATGGTGACTGCATCCCAAATGGCACCCATGTCCCTATGCAGTGAACTACTTTTGACCAGAGTCCTATGGGCCCTATATGGGGAATAGGGTGCTATTTGGGACGTGAATGGCATTTTCTTCTTCATCTGTTTTAATCATGGTGTTTGTCCAGCACCACAATGGACGTCACATGGTAGAACCACTTCACATTGGATGCAGCCTAGAGTCAACACTAATGCTAGATGACAAAACAAACAGCCAGA